GGGGCTCCCACTCACCTGATCATCCAGTTAGCATTAAGGAAACAGAGAATGAGGGTTGGCGGGGGGGGGGGGGGGGGACTCCTTCCTCAACACATAAGAAGGCCCTGAACACAGTGCCCAGTAACCTGGAGGCCAGAGATGATGACAATGCTATTCCCTTTGGATGACTCATCAGGCCTCGCTGGCCCTCATGGCCCAGACAGAGAGAGACAGAAGGTGCATCTGTGCTTGAGGTGTGAGTGTCCAGGCAGGGAAAGTGAAATGAGAGATACGTCCTTTTATTTCTGCCAACAGCAGCCCTTAGTAAATGCAGCATGGAATGAAATGGGCCCATTCTTGATTCAAGTCTCCTGCTGGTGTGCTGGATACCTCAGACAATGCACTTCACCTCTCTGAATTTCACTTTCCTCATCGGCAGAAATAATAATCCCAAACTTTGAGTAATTATTTCGAAGAATAAAAGGATAGCATGACCACAAACTCCTGGAGTTTCAGAGCACTCTGAAATGTACAGCGCAGCAGGTGGAAGACTGTCTCTGTGTTCGTTTTCAAATACACTCATAAATACAACTCACGGATGTTCTCTTACGCATCAAAGTGGGTAACACAAGCACAAGCTAACACATTTCTCCATGAAACTCAATAAGGTTATTTTTACCATTTATGAAAACAGACACAAACACTCTTAAAAACTTGCACTTTCCTGATTCGTTTCTCATGTTGTCCAAAGGAACAAGACTTAAAATCTCAACAGTCCTGTAAACACTCTGTGTCATGACTTTTGTCCCTGACCAACTCAGTGGCCCTATGAGACAGGAGTAAATTCTGGCTGCCATCCAGTGGTCCTAGTCCTTCTATTCTGTTGAGGATTCATCTATCTCAGCATTTGTCTCTTTTCTTCATTCTAGTGTCATGGTGCAATGATCAGGACAGATCAGGGTCTGGTGGGACACTGCGTGATGCTGTCTTCACAGGTCACAGGCCCTTTGGGGTGAAGGTTGCTCGCCAGCCCTGAAGCAGAAACACCTCAATTTGTTTTGGAAATGCTGAGGGTGTAGCTTTCCTTGGACATTATAATCTGCTTCTGATGCCCAAGAATGATGGAAAACTCAGGGAAAGCAGAAGAAAAGGAGACATTTGTGTAGAATCCATCTACCCAAGTGTGTGTTCCCAGAAATGACATTGTATCCTGTACTCTGGATCTGGACAAAGAATTTAGTGTCCATGATTTCTGCCTCTTCAGCACAGCTTCTTCTTCACAACCAACTTCATACACTTCAAAAAACACCTGCTCTTATCCAGAGCCAGCAGCACAAATCTGTGTACTACTAGAGAGACTTTGCTTCCTAGTAGGAAACCACAGTATTTGTCTATAAGAACAAAGTAGAGAACATATGTGTGTGTGTGTAAGGGGTGATGCCTATAAGGAGAGGAGAGAAAAGAAGAGATGAGAGCAGAGCAGAGAAGAGGAGAGGGAGAAAGACTTGTTGGCATGAGTCTTTGACATACTTAGAGGGTTTTATAAGAGTCTAAACAGCTTGACTACAACTATGATTGCATAAAAAATTGGTCTGCAAAGAACTGGGCTAAGAGAAAACACACTTGGGAAGTCACAAGACAGAGAATAAAGACAGATATTGAAATATCTTAATATCTTAATATATTTCAGACCCAAAGACCAACACTGACTGTTAAGGTGCTTCTTAGTTCATCTATCCAATAGGGAACAATCTGACCACTAGTCCAGCAAAGGGTGTTTTATTCAGTGTAACATTAAGCCTCCTCCCCTAAATTAGGCTGGAGGTGAAATTCTCAAGTAGTTCAGAGACTGATTTTCCAGGAGATTCTGGAAGGGCAGGCACTTGTGTAGAATCCATATGCAAAACAGACAATGGCAACCACATGCCTTGATTTCATCCCATCATTTCCCCAAAAAAGTTTTATTAATTTATTTATGCACTTATCTATTTATTCAAAAGTCAGAGTAACATAAAGGGCAGAAGGAAAGAGGGAAGGAAAGTTTGATGGAAGGTGTGAGAGAGAGACATCTTCCATCTGCTGATTCATAGTCTAAAAAACCTGCCATGGCCAGGGCTGGACTAGACTGAAGCCAAGAACCTAGAACTTCATCTGGCTCTCTGCATGGGTGGCAGGGGGCAAGCACTTGAGCCATCTTTCACTTCTTTCTTAGGCACACAAACAGGAATGCTGCACAGGAAGTGGAGCAGCTGGGTCTCAAACCAGCGCTCATTTGGGATTCCTGCCTTACAGGTGGTAGCTTACCTTGCTGTACAAAATGCCAAACCTACTTTTCCTATCTTTCACCTTATAAGAGGTGGGTGAAAAGGAAGCAAAAAAAGGGAAGTTTCAAAGAATGCATTCCCACTCACTCTCACGACCAAGTCTAGCATCTGAGAGACAGGCGTGAGCTGACAGTCTACAAACTCTCCACCCTATTTATATGCAAGATTCTGCATGCCTGGTTTCCCGTAGAAAAGCAACAACAAAATAATGCTGAGAAGTCCCTTCCTGGCAATGGCAGAAGCATGAGGATGTCCAAACAGAGATCCCCGCAATGGGTTCAGTTTTAACCGCCCCTCCCCCTTCTCAGCCATGTGTCAGAGCAGAGCATATTTCGACACCGTGGAGGAAAGATGGTAATTTGGGAAGTTTTCAGTTAACATGCTATTACGGCTTTGACAGCTCTCTTGACAAATCCGAAATAGCACTCTTGATTCTTGGATGACAGTCTTACACTAAAACACAAAATGGTTCTTTTTAGAAACTTACAACTTCAGCCAAGTTTTGGGTGCATGAAAATGGTGGCATGTGAATTCTTTTTAACTCCCCAAATGGAGAAAGTGTGTGCAAGCTCATGTTCTGGAACAACATCGTCAATTGCCACAAAGAACTGAACTCTCCCGAGTCCTTGGGCCGTCCTCTAGGCAGGTGCAGCTTTGTGAAGGCAGAGACCATGAAAGTGAGTGTCTCATTGGCAAAGAAAGCCATGCTGGATTTTCCACCCTCCAGGATTGTGAACAGTCTGTGTATCTTTTTCCTTCTTCTTGGTGACTCTGGGGAAAAGGGAAAAGCAAAGGCAGACGAGAGAAGAGATTGCACAGAAAGAAGTGGGAATGACAAATGTCTCTTTCTTCTTTACCTAGACCAAGTGGTTCATGAAAACCACGACTGTGGTCTCAGCACAACTCTGATGTGCATGCGCAGTCACGCCCTTTAGAATTTTACCAACAGCAACTGCTTTAGTTCACCTAACTACAGTTACAGAAGGTTTCAGCTGATTAGAAAAAATGAAAAGTCAAATACTTGCATTCTCCTGAAGAAACAAAATACCTTTCAGCGAAAAGGATGATTTATCAGGGCTGAAAACAAAACTCTTATTTTACTGGAGTCTGCTGCGGCTGAGTTCTCATTATTTTGGTCCTAATTTATTTTATAGGGTACTAATTAATGGGGCAAAGTCTGCTGCCAGGAAAGTAAATCGCATTTTGCGGATTGTTTTTTTTTTTTTTTCTTTTCTAACAAGGTACAGACCCGGACTTTAATAAAAGCGCAAGTGCCAAAGGCACACAGGGTCCACTACTGAAACCAGGAAACCTTTGGTGGCGTTCTGTTGTATAGAATGCCAGAAGGAAGAAAAAAAAAATATGGGGAGAAGAAATTGCACAAGTGACCTCCCAAAGAAAAAAAGAGTGTCTCCCTCGAAAACGCACCCACCACCCTCCCATCCATCTTTCCTCTGCTCCCACAGCTCAATTGTCCAACTGGCTGCACTACTACAAGACGCATTTTCCAAGGGCGCTTTTCTTTACCAATCCTCAAGCAGCTCTGATTTTTAAGGTAGCTTCGCTTTCGTCCCACTCCCCACCCCTTCTCGCACTTCTCCTCTGGTGTGGGGGGAGGGAGTGGGCTGGTATTCCCCCCTATGATCTCTGACCCTGGCTTTGCTGCGGACCCCTCACATCTGCTCCCTGCTCAACTTCTCCGCCCTCCTTTCTTCCTCCCTCACCGTCTTCTTTCTATTTGATTCCTGGGAGTTCTTCCCCCTCCTGGAAGCCTCTGGACCCTCATGGAGGCAGGCAGTGCGGATGATGGGCTGGGCAGAACGAGCGCCTAGCTCACACCCGGGAGCCGGGCCCTGACGTCACCACACCCTGCCTGTCAATCAGCCGCGGGCGCGCTGCTGGAGGCAGCCTGTGCAGCCCAAGACAAGTCTCACTCGCCTAGCACAGCTACAAAGCCCCGGAGCTCTCTACTAACCCGCCTGGCAGCCTGCTGCAGCAGCTGCGCGGGGAGCGCAGCCCGGCACCCCACCAAGGCACCCATGACCAGTGATCTGCTGAAGGCCTGATTGCCCAGGTGAGCGACCGGCCTCTGGGAGGGGGTGGTGGTGGAAGGGGGCTTGCAGTGGTTGGGGGAGTGGAGGAGTGAAGGCAAGCCTCAGGACGGGGTTCTTCCCTGAAGCCGGAGAAACGGGGCCAAGCTTGACTCCTCACCCTGGACCCACACGCGCGAGCACACATACCCAATTTCCCCGTCCCCAAACGTCTTCCCTAGGGTCGGTGTGTGGAGCGCGAAAATTTCAATTTTCAGCACCGTGGACAGCGGCGCTGCTGCCCAGTGGAGGGGACTGCCCATCTGAGCCAGTCACTTTCCACGGCTGTCAGTCCTTGCTCGGGGTCCTGGGGTGCGTGTACAAACATAAGCACACTTATAGGACCACCCTGAGCAAGTGTGTGCGTACACGACCTCTGTGCACGTCTGCGCAAAAACTCTGAGTCGGTGCGCTTGGTTCGCACTCAACAGGTCTTTGAGGTTCACTCTGAACCGCTGCTTGAGCGCTCTGCACCACGGGGTTGCTGGGAGCCTCCAGAAGGAGGATTCATCCAGGGGCAGTGCGCTCGGGGAAGTTCTCTGGCAACCTGAGGGGCACCTCTGATGCCTGCTCTCCCTCTCTTTGCAGGGTGCAGCACCTGGCCGCGATGAACGCCAGCACCGCCTCGCTCAATGAGTCCCAGGTGGTGGCGGTGGCGGCCGAGGGAGCCGCCGCTGCTGCTGCTGCGGCCACCGCCGCTGGGGCCCCGGACGCCGGGGAATGGGGTCCGCCCGCGGCAGCCGCGGCGCTGGGAGGAGGTGCTGGAGCTAACGCGTCGCTGGAGCTGTCTTCGCAGCTGCAGTCAGGACCGTCGGGACTGCTGCTGTCCGCAGTGAATCCCTGGGACGTGCTGCTGTGCGTTTCGGGAACAGTGATCGCAGGCGAGAACGCGCTGGTAGTGGCACTCATCGCGTCCACCCCGGCCCTGCGCACTCCTATGTTCGTGCTGGTGGGCAGCCTGGCCACTGCCGACCTGCTGGCCGGCTGCGGCCTCATCCTGCACTTCGTGTTCCAGTACTTGGTGCCCTCAGAGACTGTGAGCCTGCTTACCGTGGGCTTCCTCGTTGCCTCCTTCGCCGCCTCGGTAAGCAGCCTGCTAGCCATTACGGTGGACCGATATCTATCACTATACAACGCGCTCACCTATTACTCGCGCCGGACCCTGTTGGGCGTGCACCTTCTGCTTGCAGCCGCCTGGACGGTGTCCCTAGGCCTTGGGCTCTTGCCGGTTCTCGGCTGGAACTGCCTGGGCGAGCGGGCTACCTGCAGTGTGGTGCGTCCGCTGACGCGCAGCCACGTGGCGCTACTCTCAGCAGCCTTCTTTGCGGTCTTCGGGATCATGCTGCACCTGTACGTGCGCATCTGCCAGGTGGTGTGGCGCCACGCTCACCAGATCGCGCTGCAGCAGCACTGCCTTGCGCCACCCCACCTCGCGGCCACCAGAAAGGGCGTGGGTACACTGGCCGTGGTGCTGGGCACTTTCGGGGTCAGCTGGCTCCCCTTCGCCATCTATTGCGTGGTGGGCAGCCAAGAGGATCCAGCCATCTACACCTATGCCACTCTGTTGCCCGCCACCTACAACTCCATGATCAATCCCATCATCTATGCCTTCCGCAACCAGGAGATCCAGCGTGCCCTGTGGCTCCTGTTCTGTGGCTGTTTCCAGTCCAATGTGCCCTTCCGCTCCAGGTCTCCCAGCGAGGTCTGAAGGGCTAATCCGCGTCTCCTCTTGCCAGCACCAGACACACTCAACCAAACAGCCTTTGGGGAGTCTCTCCTTGCCAGCTGATGAACTCTGAGATCCCGGCAGTGTGAACCTGAATTTGGTAGGAAAAGAGGAAATTAACTCCAGTGCAACAAACTCACAGGGACAAAGAGGCTTGTTGGCACTTTACATATACAGTGTATACATGTGTACATATATATACAAATATTTGTATCCTCTGGAGGTGTTGGCAATATAGCGCTTCCTGGTCTGTGTGCAAAATTAACACGAAGATGTGATTGTGTACTCAAACTGTACATCACATTTGTCAAGTGAAGACATTCCAATACTGCTTAATTATAGCACTTTATTTTAGCTGCTGAACTGCCGAAACAGTGTTGCCATTTTCAGGGCGGGAAAAGCGAGCAAATGGCATATTTTTTTGAAGTATGTGATAGAATATTTTGCTGCCATTGGGTCAACAAATGACAACATATTTTGTACACAAATAAACATATTATAAAAACATAATTTGCAATATGTGGCTGACTGCAGAATTGCTGGTGAGATGAGCTGTGAGTGCATTTGCTTTAAAGGTTTATTATGTAACATCTGCCTCCTGAGACCATCTTAATGTAAAAAAATATCATATGCAGTATTGCTACATTGTGCATACATTTTCACTGAGCTATCTAATTTGGATGATTGCAGTGGGTGGGAAGGGAATACACACTCATGTAATTGTTCTCAAAGGGTTTGAAAGGGTGATTAGTGCTACCAGTACCAGCTCATTCACTCCTTTGGCTTCTGGGCCTGAAAGAGCAGCTCCCAAGGGTGTCTGGAACCATTCCTTCCAATTACCACAGGTGCACTTGTGATTCCTGCAACCAGTACCTTCCAGTTGGAGCTGATCCAGGATTGACTCAGTACCTGACTGCCAGTCAGATCTTGTAGCAAAATGCAGTCTCCTAAACCCTTCCAAAACAGGAGTCCAAGGCACATGTATTTCCCTTCTATCTTTACGAACTAAAAGAGGGCATGTCTGGCAGCCCTTTTCATCTTCATCACAGGATCTTATGGTCCTCAAACACTGAATATTCCCACTCAGCCAACGAGTGTGCATCAGGTTCCCCTTCCTCCCTGTCTGACAGAGGGATGTGGAGATAGATAAGACAGCTCATCTAGGCAGGCACCCAGCCCCTTTGCAGAAATTGGCACATAAACCAGAGTAATCACTGTTCTTAGGTTTTAGGGAAATATATGCAAGTAAATTCTCTCACATATTTCATAAATACTTTTTTTTCATTTTAAAACAGATTTTATTTTATTTGAAAGGCAGAGTTACAGAGAAAAGGGATGAAAGAGATATTTCATTCTCTGGTTCATTCCCCAAATGGTTGTAACAGTCAGAGCTGAGCCGATCCCAAGCCATGAACCTCTTCTGGGTCCCCCATGTGGATGCAGGTGCTCAAGAACTTGGGCCATCTTCCACTGCTTTCCCAGATCATAAGCAGAGAGCTAGATGGATCAGCAGTAGTGGGCTGATCCACTGGGACACAAATTGGCACCCATGTTGGAGCCCTGTGTCTCAGGCAGAGGCTTAGCCCACTATGCTATGATTCTGGGCCCCAGAATATTTATTGAGTACCCTACACATTCTAGACACAGTGCCAAGGCTGACTGTATCATGCTCATGTTATTGCATTCTAGTAGGGAAGATGATCTACATGCAAATAAACATACAGTGTCATGCTGGGGCAAATGCTGATAAGGAAAAGAAAGTGGGGTGAAGGGTAGCAGGGTAGTTAAGGCAAGTGTCATGAAGAGACAACATGTCAAAGAATATCCCGGTGAACAGGAGTGTAACACAGCGGAGAATGTGAGGGAAACAGATTAAGGGAGCAGCAAGAGCAAATCCTTCCAGGTGGGAGCAAGCCTGGTGAGTTTAAGGAGAAGCGAGAAGGTCAGTGCAGCTGAGGAGAGTGAGCAAAGGAAAGACGAGGCCTAGAATTTACTAAAAGGGGAAATTGGGATGGATAGTTTCAAACTTTGTGGCCACTGTAGGAACTAGACTTTTACTCTGAGGGATGTGGAAGTGACATGATGGGATTTGCACTTTAAAGATGCATCTTTACTGTCCTATTTAAAAGTATTTCCAAGATGGACACAACAGAAGCAAGAAATCAGATCCATAACCACTATCCTCATGAGAAATGGCAGTGGCAGTGGTGGGGCTGGAGAAAAGGGCAAAGCCAGATATTTGGTCAAACCTTCTGGGTGTTTCTGTGAGGATGTTTTTAACTAAGGTTTAAATTGGTAGGTTTTTCAATAAAGCCACTTGCCCAGCGTAGAGTGGATGGGCCTTGTCTAATCAGTTGAAAGCCAGAAGAGAACAAAAGATCTAGCAAGAGAGAATTCCCCAGCAGACTGGCTTCAGACTTCATGAACAACACCAGTTCTTCCTGCTTCTGCAGCTGATGGTCTAGCATGGAAACTGGCGTTATCTCTGCATCTCTCTGCAGGCAGCTCATGCTGTAGTTTGATCTTGCCAACCTCCATAATTCCTGGGTATAAATATCTTCACCCGCAAACCTGTGCACAGGCACAGCCCATTGGTAGGATGTGCACATGTACATGCATGCATGCCTAGTTGCTCTTGTTTCTCTGGAAAATCTTGATTGACACAGGAAAAATAGGGACCTTGAAAAGTCATGATTAGGAGCTGACAAGGTTGTGTAGCAGGCAAACCTCATGCTGCAGTGCCAGAATCCCACATGGGTGCTGGTTCATGTCCCGCTGCTCCACTTCCAATCTAGCTCCCTACTAATGCACCTAGGAAAATAGCAGAGGACTTAACATATGCCACATACAGCTGCACACATTTCACATATACGATCTCATTTCATTATCAATAACAACCCTCAAAAGAAGGGATCCCAGAAGGACATCAGCGGCTCATTCAAATCAGAGGCTGAGAAGAGTTCAGTGAAGGGCCTACTTGCAAAAGTGTGAGCAGAGTTAACATAATGACTTTAGCAAGAGCTAGCATTGGCAGGGTTGCCAGGAGAGGCAAGAGGAAGAACAATCACTGAAATGGGATGAGGGCTGTGCTGTTGGCTGTGCAAATCGGGTAAGCCAACTTACACTTAAAAGCCCCACAACAATTGTGGTCTTCAGCAGAGAAATGGGGCAGCAGCCACTGCCCACTTGTTGTCTAGCAAGGGGAGCTGGTGGAATAAACACCTGAGCACCTTCTCCCCACTCCATCCCATATCCTGTTGTGCATATCATTAGGTACATCAGATGCCAGAGTGCAACACAACTGTTTGATGAAGTCCACAAGAGGTTAGCTTTCCTGGGAACTGTGAAAGGTGAATGTGCCAGTCCAAAGCAGAGAATGCCCAATTGCAATGCTATGAGTTATGTGGTATCATAAGCTCTACTCCACAGATGAGGAAACAGGCACAGAGAGGTGAGCTATCCAAGCCTGGAGTTTGGGAGATGGCTCTAATCTGGACAAATGAATTAGGGAACTATCAACATCTGAGTATGTGTGGCATAATCATGGGTCTGGAGGGGATTATGTTGGGAATTCTTGTAGAGAGAAGGGAAGAGGGCAAAGAAAGGAGCCTTAGGACAAGGAAGTATTTAGAAATCAAAAAAACAATAACAATCAAGTAGAGAAAGAGTGCTCAGCACAGTGGGAGTAGACTTCCAAAGTAAGGAAGAAAGACATTTGTGGGACATGGGTGAATAGTTGGCCTTGAGATTAGGGAACCCACTTGGGATGCCCATTTCCCAAAATATAATGGCTGGGTGTGAGTCCCAGTTCTACTCCTGACTCCAGCTTCCTGCTATTGTGCACCCTGGAAGAAAGAAGCTCAAGAAGCTGGGTTCCTTGTCCTCCATATAAAAGACCGGAGTTGACTTCCCAGCTCCCAGCTCAGTTCAAGCCACTGTGGGGCATTTGGAAAATGACCCCAGCGGATAAGAGTGTCTCTCTTTTTCCCTTTCTCTGTATGTATCCTCAAATAAACATTTTTAGGACATTGTATAGTAGCCTAATGGCTGAAGTCCTTGGCTTGCATGCACTGTGATCCCCTCTGGGCACTGGTTCATGTCCTGGCTTCTTTACTTCCCTCCCAGCTACCTGCTTGTGGCCTGGAAAGGCAGTGGAGGATTGCCTGAGGCGTGGGGACCCTGCACCCACATGGGAGACCCATAAGAAACTTCTGGCTCCTGACTTTGGATTAGCTCAATTCCAGCCATTGTGGCCATTTGGGAAGTGAGTCAGCAGATGAAAAATCTTTCTCTCTTTCTCCCCTCTGTAAATACGATTTTCTAATAAAAAATAAATAAATCTTTAAAAATAGATAAATAAATATGTGTAAATGTTGCAAAAGTACCTAGAGATTTGGTACAATGGATGTCATTGCTGAGCATGACAAGACAAGCTTAAGGTAAGAATGAGAGGGAAAAAGCATGATTGAAGATGCCAGAACAAATGCACAGATGAATTACTCTCGAGTGGATCATTGCAGAACCGTATCTTTGCAAATCTACAAGACAGCTCTGGCTTCTTAGATATACAGCTCAACAGTGTCTGTCAGTTTAGATTCATGAAGATCAGTATTATTGCCAGTTCATCAGATTGAACATTTCTGAAGAACTATCCTTCATAGCCTCTGCAGCCTCCTCAGACCCTGGTTCAGGTCCCGCTCACAACCGGAATGCACGCTGGCCTGAAATACAAAAGCTCTGGCTGTCAATTCCACATATGTAGAGAGACAGACATAGCATTCCAGAGATGGAGCAAAGAATTTAATCTTGTATATTTTTCATAACTACTGGAAAAACTTTCTTCCCATCAGAGTAGGAAGAAAGTTAGGATAATGAAACAGAGGCCATAGATCTCACTTCAATAAACTTGATATTAATATTTAACATCAGTCCCAGTCTTTATCAAAGTATTTGGGAGAAGCTAGAATAAGAGGTGACTCAAT